CTAACTCTCGCTGCTCACACTGAACGCGATCTACAGGAGATCCTGAACACCTACGCAGATGTGTAAGCACACTTTGGCCTTGAGGTGAATGTACAAAATACTCAGATTCTCTTTCAGCCTGCCCCTGGTTCAGCCACACCTCCACCATCCATCCAGCTTAACGGTATTACCCTCTGCAATGTTACCCACTTTCGGTACCTCGGCTCCCACCTGTTCACCACCGCCGATATCAATGAAGAGATTCAACATTGAATCAGATGTGCATTTCAAGTCTTTGGCAGACTCCATAACCGTGTCTTCAGCTGTAGGGAGCTGAAATTATCTACAAATTTGAATGTAAATCGAGCAGTGGTGCTCTCCACCCTGCTAGATGGCACCGAGAAATGGGTCACACACACAGGAGGCATCTCAAGTCTCTTGAAAACTTTCACCAAAGTAGTCTACGTTTCATGCTCTGAGTTTGTTGGGAAGACAAGAGAACAAATGCCAGTATTCTTGTTGACGCCAACTGTAGGAGCATCGAGCATCCGTGAACAACTACGTTGGACTGGCCATTAGGGTGTGTCATAGGAGGGAAGATCAGCTAAAACTAATGGCCCATCACTTTTTTGGTAGATCTTAGTGTATATAAACAGAAAATAATTTCAGTTTCAATATTTTGCAACCTTTTGCTAGGTAAATTTTAGCGTGAAATTTATCGAAAATCTAACGTACAGCTGCATTAGTGCATTACAATTAAATAGTGAACATTGCTTTCTGACTTCATTCTTTAACAACCCAACTAACAATATTTTTTTTGTTTCAGATTCTGATGCATTTATAAGTTGATAATATTTGCGATGGCTGCTTGTGTCAGGACGAGGAACCAAAAATCCAGCCATCTCAGTCACTATCTTGGGTCTGGGAGAGAGCTCCTGAAGTCGGAGTTGCCTACATTGAGAGATGCTTTGAGATACGGTGTTTTAATCAGGCAAATCAGTGAAAAGAACCAAAGAACTTACACAAACAAAGACATTGCCAGTAATATGACCAAAGCTGTCTTGGCACAGTACACTCTGGCTAACGCTCAGTTCAAGCCTCCAGTCATAACAAGTCAGAAGAAGATTAGTGAGAGACTGCTAGCCAGTTGGGAAAAGGCAAGAGATATCTCTCTTGGGAGAGGAAAACTTGCAGTTAAGGACAGCTTTGCCAAGCAACTGGACCAGTTATTTGAACATAATTACTTGCAAGTGCCCAATTGTTCTCTGTCCTGAGTTTGGATGCGATCGTGACTGTAAATCCGAGGCCCACATCTCCTGTATTTGCAAGCGTGAACTGAAGATTCCTGTGATCGAACTGGCATTTGTCAAAGCACAGAGAGAGAAGACTGGCAGTATAGGGGCTCTCATGATTTCTAGCCAAGATATTCCGGAGTCCAAGAGACAGGAGGCTGCCACAGAGAGACAGAAGAGGAGAAGAGTTGCCGAGGAAAAGAGACTTGAGAAGGCCCAGGGTGAGGTAAAAAAGGCCGATGATTGGAGTCAAGCTGATTCAGAGTTTAATGACTTCCCCATGGCTGATCCGAGTGCTGACCAGGAGAATGGTGACTTTGTCCCTAACCCAGAAAATAATGATCCCAAACCTTCCAGGCATAAGATTCGAAATAGGAAAGATATCCCGAGCATAGCTCTGGCCAGCATGCGACACCACACTGGTCTCAGAGAAACTGCAGAGATAGCAACAGCTGCCTGGGTTGACGGTGGTTTGATAACACCTGATGATGTTCACCTGGTGATAGATCATAACAAAGTAAGGAGAGCTCAGGAGAAACTTGTCAGTAACCTAGAAGAGGAGTTTGATAAGGGGATAAGAGAAAATGGAATCAATTGTTTGTTCTTTGATGGGAGAAGGGATGACACTAAAGTGTTCATGAAAGTTGGAGATTCTGACAAGTTGTTCCCTGCCATGGTGAAGGAGGAACACTACTCCTGCTGCAGTGAACCAGGAGGGAAGTATTTGTGGCATTTCACTCCAGAGAAAGATGACATCAGGAAACCAGCTGAGATAGTGGCAGATAACATTGTGAACTGGCTCAGAGAGAGGAACGTAGACCAGACCCTGCAGGCCATTGGAGGGGACAGCACCAACACGAACACAGGGTGGCAAGGGGGGTCATACAGTGGATAGAGCGGAAGATTGGGAGGAAGCTGGTCTGGATTGTTTGTGACCTCCACACCAACGAGTTGCCACTCAGACATCTGATCCAGGAGCTGGATGGCAAGACTCTTTCAAACAACAGATGGTCTGGTCCTCTTGGCAAGATGCTGGACTCTGCCACTGAGTTAGAAATAAATCCGAGCTTTGAAAAAATCACAGTTGGCCTCCCTCGCTGAGCTTGCACATACTGTCATTGACGACCTGAGTACTGACCAGTACTATGGTTACATGATTTGCAGTGCCATCAAAACTGGGGTCATGCCTGATAGACTTGCTTACCTGCAGATAGGTCCAGTCTCACATTCTAGGTGGCTCACAACGGCTCTCAGGTTCTGCAGAATTTGGGTCGCTCATCATAAACTGAAAGGGAACCAGCTTCACAACCTGAGACTTATTGTCCAATTCATCGTGAGTGTCTACTTGCCAAATTGGTTCAACACCAAGGTCAAGTCATCGTTCTCCGAAGGTCCGAGGCATGTTCTCTTCCAGATTGAGCTCCTGAGGAGTCAGCCAAGGAAGGTTGTTCAGATTGTGGAGCAGACTGTGAGGAGATCTTCCTGGTATGCTCATCCCGAGGCAGTTCTGCAGACAATGCTCTGCAGTAAGGATGATGAGGAGAGAAGAGTGGCAGTCAAAAAGATCTTGGATATGAGACTTATGAGAGGATCTGGGCATGACGAATCAGTTGGTGACGATTCCTTCAGGGTCAGGAAGACTCCTAAAGTCAATCTAGGTGCCAAGACCCTCACTGATCTCATAGATCTGGATAACATCCAGGCTGGCAGTGAGCCCCCTCTTACCTGCAGCCTCACCAATGTTCAAGTCAGAGCTTTCCTGGACAACCCCATGCATGTCCCTGCCTGGCCCTCGCACACCCAGAGTATAGAGCGTTGTGTACAGTAAGTGAGCGAGGCCAGCAGTCACGTGTACAGCCAGGAGAGGAGGGAAGGCTACATCCGAGCTCAGGTGGTCAGCAGGGAGGTGATGAGTAGAAACAGAAGCAAGAAAGACATGTTCTCTATGGTGTGCAGCAACACCGGGTCGTAGTAGTAAAACCGGTTTTTGTTTTTGATGATTTTGTTTTCTAAAGGAATATTAAATTTAATAAATGTGTCAAGATCATTCGTTTCACTATTCTGGATCATTTTCATCCGAATAAATTAACCTGATACATTTACTTTACTTTAAATAAGCTATTTAGTGGTGTTGGTAAAAGGGTGGGAATACTGAATTTTCATAAGATTTCAAGTTAAAATTTACCAAGCAAAAAATGAAAACTTTTCATATCTGAAGATATCACATGATTCTGCACATAGAACTACATCATTAATATCATGGGCCGATTTTTCAAACTCAAAAAAAAAAAAATCGCCTCCGTATGACACCCTACTGGCCATGTTACCCGCATGAACGACGGTACACTGCCAAAGCAGCTATTTTACAATCACACAACGAATGGTAAGCGTAACGCTGGCGAACAATGGAAAAGGTATGAGGATATTCTTAAGACAAACCTGAAAAAGTGCCAAATCGACTCCCTTACCTGGGAGACGATCACTCCACACCGTAACACTAGGAAGATCACCACACGAGAAGGTGTCAATACTTTCAAGTTAGCCCGACTGCGTACCGAGGCAGACAAGTATCAGCGCCGAAAAGACGCTGCCGCCACCCCTCCCTTACCAGATGTAGCCCTTCACACAAGCAACTTACAGTATGTGGACGACCCTTTGGTCCCGTATAGGCCTCTCTAGTCATCTCAGAGCTCACCAACAAAAGTTACAGCCTTAATAGCTCGTATCATTGTATCATAGCTGGATGATCGTTATACTCAATTCCTAGTGACGGCAAAGGAGTAGTAGTAGTAGTGTGACACAATACACACTCGTTTTTCTGCTCTTACCGGGAGGATTACCATCACCATTGATTGAATTATTTTACCTAAGATCTTACCATTTTTCTGTAACTGAATGTTTGTTTACTTATAATTAACCAATCCCAGTGCAGCATTGTGGGTAAGTCCATTCTAAAAGTGGGGGTTTAAACTGTTTACTTACGGGTCTGACGGAGAAAAGAGGCCCAAGGGTTGCTTGTTGGCGGGAATTTCAAATGACAAATATATAATGGTTTGGACAAATATTTCTTCCCCTGAGTGGGTCCAGACTATCGGAAATCTGGACTGGCGAGGGTTTACTGTAGTTATTTGATACAAGAAATGTTTATAAAATCTAGGTTAAGTTAAGAGTGGAACTCTTTCTCTCCTTGTATGACTTAATGCTCTTTATGTATTTCTAAGATTCATTAACTCGTGTGCTTTTACAAGTGTGTTTAATTATAAGGTATATTATGGTAGTATCAGTGATTAATGATATGGCTGTCCATCACCTACAAACTTGAAAAAAAATACATGGATCTTTAAATGCAGAGACTAGACCAATCATTTTGTGCTTTCAACCAATCAGAAGTGATGGCTTAGAATGTGAACAATGTAGAGGTCTTTACAGATAATGATTGAAAATACATTTGTACTGTACAGTATATGACTTAAATCCATATGGATAATAGAAAAAGTAGGTCGGAGAGGGAGGTAAAGTAAGTCTTTGACACTTAATTATATGAATTGTTGTTTTCACTCAAGTACTTGAGATCAGTTTTGCATGTCACTTAGATATGAATTTAAATAACGTAACAGTTTTTATTATGTGCAGGAAAAGAATGTCAACATTTGTTTTTCTTCAGCATATATTACCTTACTGAGTAGCTCTTTGTACTTGAACATGTTTCAATGTGACTCATTTTTACAGAGAATCCTGATCACATACCACACTATGACTTTGGGTGTGGTTCTTCTCTCTGGAAAGTGTATAAGAATCTTAAGAGAATCTCAACGTAAGTACGGATGTAGACTTTGTTCATTTGGTTGTTAATGGATTATCAGTATTTATTTTTACATATTCAAGCCCCAATTTTATTTGGCACAAAATTTATTAGGGGAACGTGCCGTGGATAGTAACGTATATTTTAGTGAAAGTTAACATCGTGTGTTAGACTTACTACTGTATATATTAGTGAAAGTTAACATAGCGTGGTAGACTTACTGCTGTATATATTAGTGAAAGTTAACATAGCGTGGTAGACTTACTGCTGTATATATTAGTGAAAGTTAACATAGTGTGTTAGACTTACTGCTGTATATATTAGTGAAAGTTAACATAGCGTGGTAGACTTACTTCTGTATATATTAGTGAAAGTTAACATAGTGTGTTAGACTTGCTGCTGTATATATTAGTGAAAGTTAACATAGTGTGGTAGACTTACTACTGTATATATTAGTGAAAGTTAACATAGTGTGTTAGACTTACTGCTGTATATATTAGTGAAAGTTAACATAGTGTGGTAGACTTACTGCTGTATATATTAGTGAAAGTTAACATAGTGTGGTAGACTTACTGCTGTATATATTAGTGAAAGTTAACATAGTGTGTTAGACTTACTGCTGTATATATTAGTGAAAGTTAACATAGTGTGTTAGACTTACTGCTGTATATATTAGTGAAAGTTAACATAGTGTGTTAGACTTACTACTGTATATATTAGTGAAAGTTAACATAGTGTGGTAGACTTACTGCTGTATATATTAGTGAAAGTTAACATAGTGTGGTAGACTTATTGCTGTATATATTAGTGAAAGTTAACATAGTGTGTTAGACTTACTGCTGTATATATTAGTGAAAGTTAACATAGCGTGGTAGACTTACTTCTGTATATATTAGTGAAAGTTAACATAGTGTGTTAGACTTGCTGCTGTATATATTAGTGAAAGTTAACATAGTGTGGTAGACTTACTACTGTATATATTAGTGAAAGTTAACATAGTGTGTTAGACTTACTGCTGTATATATTAGTGAAAGTTAACATAGTGTGGTAGACTTACTGCTGTATATATTAGTGAAAGTTAACATAGTGTGTTAGACTTACTGCTGTATATATTAGTGAAAGTTAACATAGTGTGGTAGACTTACTACTGTATATATTAGTGAAAGTTAACATAGTATGGTAGACTTACTGCTGTATATATTATTGAAAGTTAACATAGTGTGGTGTACTATTCATTTAAATGATGCATTATTATAAATATTGTCTAACCTCTATGCCCTGGGCTAGGGTGGTGCTGGCTGTACCTCCCACGCGGGGTAAAACGGGAAAAATAAATTTTTCCCAAAATAAATTTTAACCTTTATAAACGATAAAACAATAAAAAAGACGTAAGAAAAACTATATATTGTCCCTCAGTGACGAGTGAAATAAGGAGAAAGATGGGATTTCTTACAGGGAGCTCACGGTCACTACGCATTAGGGGTCCCTTTCCCGTCTCCTTTGTGTCCGAGATGGCCAAAAATACATATTTTTACTGATAAAAATACTTATTTCCTATAAATAATTCATTTAGAATTTATTTTATTTGCATTACTTTTCATAAAGAGTGTTCGGCGACCCACACCCAGTCATTCGCCAGGCTGTCTGGTTGTCTTTGTGTTTGGTAGAGCAAGTAAGTCATATAAATAATTATCAATTCAATTTCAATATTTATTCCTTGATAGTGGAATCGGGATCCTAGTGCTGTCACTAGGTACCCCTGGTGAATAATTATCTTAATAATAAATCCACAAATAAATAGAATGGAGGAAGTTGCTAAGAGGAGTTATGCTGAGGCATTAGCAGAACCTCGGGGGGGTGGCGGGGTGGCGGAGAGTAATGCAGAATCACAACAGGTTCTACAGCAGCTAGGGACTCTGAAGAAGTGTGTCGAGGAAATTAAAATTAACGGACCTACTGTTAGGGGAGAGGAGGAACAACGGGAACGTTTCCAGCGCAGGAACAATGTAATAGTTTTGGGAGTCCCCGAGAGCCAGGCGGAGGGAACTGAGAGTAAGGGAACGCACGATAAGATGCAGTTTCAGAATATTTGTACAGAAGTTCTGAAGATGCCATCAACCCCACAGGATGTAGGAGGCTTGGACAAAAGCAGGGGGATAAGCCTCGCCCCCTCAGGATCACACTAGTGGGCGAGGAGGAGAAATGGGAGGGTTTTCGGCAGGCAAAAAACTTAGCAAGGAGCGAGGCATCTCGGAGTGAATTCATTCACCCAGATCGCACGGTAATGCTGAGGGAACAGCACAAGAAGCTCCTGCAGGACTTGAAGCAGAAGAGGGAGGAGTCAAGGAGGAACGGGGATGGGTTTACATGGGTTATATTCAGGGGGAGGATGGTGGAAGCAAGTGTGCCGACTCAGGGCCATGGGGGCAGCAGTGCACCCTCCACCCGCTCTACCCCCACCCGGGAGGTGGCACCAGCTCCGTCTACCAGGCAGGAGGAGGCGAGCGCCGTGTAAACAATGACATTACTAACCACACCCTGCAAAATACAGTGTACTTAGCAAATGCTGCAGCTTCTGAGATTGGGGGGGGCTACTACTCAGAGAAGAGACGTTACCGAGAACAAATTCTGGCTTGAATGTCATGTACACTAATACTGACACGTTCCTTGATAAGAGAGAGGAGTTTGAAACACTACTAAGAGTACACCAACCAGATATTATGGAAGTTGTCGAACTGTTGTACAAGAACAGGAGAATCGACCCAGAGGAATGTGAGTTCAGTATTGCTGGAGATGACTCATTTACGAACCTTTCTCAAAAAACTTGCAATAGGGGTGTGGTTATCTATGCTAGGCAAGACCTTAGAGCCAGCCAGGCGAGGGTACAGGGAGAGGATGTTTTGAAGAGTCCAAGTGGTGTAAAATTAAATTAAAGGGGGGACTTACTTATCGTCGGGTGTATCTACAGATCCCTAAACTGTGGCCCACTAAATCAAAGGAACTTAAGAGCCTTAATAGACAATGCGGCGATGCTCAACCCTAGCCACCTCCTTATCATGGGGGACTTTAACTATGGCGACATCGACTGGAGAAACGCGTTCACCCCAAATAACTTGAATAACCCTGTAGAAACTCTGAGAGATAATTTCCTGTTCCAACATGTTAAGAGACCCGACACATTACAGAGGGGAGCAAACACCCAAGCCACTAGACCTCATCATAACAAACGAGGAGGGTATGGTGGCCAAACTGGAACACCTTGCCCCAGTTGGCACCAGTCTCCATATAGTGTTGTCATTCAGATTTAACCGTTACCTAGTTCAGGATAAGGCCAGGCCAAGGTGCAAATATTACAAGGGAATTTACAATGGGATGAGGGAAGGGATGAGAGGTATCAACTGGCCTGACTCATTAAGGCACAAGAACACAGACACTATGCTGAATATCATAACTAGTAAAGTGACCCATTTGATCGATACATATATACCCAAGACCAAACCCAGTGCCTCTAGGAATACGAGGGGATCCCTACACATGAACCACGCGGCAGTCGATAAAGTTAAGAAGAAAACCCAGAAATTCAAGACGTGGGTTGGGTCAAACGATGAGCAGGACAGGAGGGTGTATGCAAGAGCCAGAAACCAAGCAAAGATAGAGTGTAGAAGGGCTGAAAAGGAGTTCCAGAGGCTGGTTGTAAGCGAGGTCAAGTCAAACCCAAAGGCGTTTTACCACTATGCAAAGTCGAAATTAAAAACGCGAGTAGGAGTATCAGACCTGAGGCTTGTGGATGGTAGTTACGCAGATTCTGACCAGGATAAAGCCGAGGCATTGAACAGCTTCTTTTCCTCGGTGTTCACAAGAGAGGATGCGATTAACCTTCCTGCGTTTGAGGACAGACGATTCGACACAGCACTGACCCACATTGTGTTCACAGAAGAGGGTATTAGAAATAAACTGTCCAGGCTAAGGGTCCATAAGAGTCCCGGTCCTGACATGGTGTATCCTAGAGTGCTAAGAGAGTTGTGCAACGAGCTTGCCGAGCCCCTGAAGATCCTGTTTTGTAAATGCCTGGATGAACAAAAGGTCCCCAGTGAATGGAGAGTGGCTTATGTGAGTCCTATCTTCAAGAAGGGCGATCGTCACTCCACGAACAGCTATAGACCGGTGAGTCTGACCAGCATAATATGTAAAGTACTTGAGAGTTTTATGCCGGGGCGCTCCTGCTTAATACAATTGCTCAAGGTATTGGATATTTGGACCCATATTCTGGAACGGGGTGGTAATATTGACAATATTGACCTAGATTTTGCCAAGGCTTTTGACAGTGTACCCCCATGAAAGGCTGAAAATCAAACTGGAAGGGCACGGAATTCAGGGAAATGTCCTAGCGTGGATTATTGGCACGAAATCATCATTCGTACCTGTCACAAGCGGGGTACCACAGGGCAGTGTATTGGGCCTGCTGTTGTTTGTTTGTTTCATAAATGACATGCCTAACGTTGTACACTACTCCATACAAATGCTTGCCGATGACGCCAAGTTATTTCGGGAAATCAAAAACCAAGCGGACTGTGAAGAGCTGCAGAAGGAGCTCTGTGGGCTCCACGTATGATCGACGAAATGGCTGTTGAGATTCAATGTCACGAAGTGTAAGAGGATGCACCTGGGTCGTACCAACGGTAAGGAGGCGTATTATATGTCCCAACTGGATGAAGAAACTGCACTATTTGAAACTGAATGTGAGAATGACCTAGGTGTGTATGTTGACTATGAGCTGAAGTTCTCGGGCCATTGCGAGAAGAAGGTAAATCAGGCAAATAAATTATTGGGTCTTATAAGGTCGTTCGGATATCTAGACGGTCCGCCCCTCGTAACGATCTTCAAAAGTGAAGTGCTTCCCCATCTGGAATACTGTCACCCCGTCTGGTCCCCGAGATATGCTAGGGACTGTCAGTGGGTTGAAAATGTTGAAAGGAGGGCCACCAGACTGGTGCCTGCACTTCGGCACCTCA